ATTTGACTCTCTGTAATTTACACTCCGATTAATTTCACTCCACATATTTGAAAAAAATTAAATTGGAAAATGTTATTTCAAAGTGTATATAAAATATCTACTGAAACATAAAATTAAAATACATATGTGTAGGTTAAACAAGATAATGTTGTGTTATGTGATGGTTTATTATGTTATGTGATGTTATGTAATGTTATGTGATGGTTTATTATGTTATACAATGTTATGTGATGGTTTATTATGTTATGTGATGTTATGTAATGTTATGTGATGGTTTATTATGTTATATAATGTTATGTGATGGTTTATTATGTTATGTGATGTTATGCAATGTTATGTGATGGTTTATTATATTATGTGATGTTATGTAATGTTATGTGATGATTTGTGTTATATAATGTTATGTGATGGTTTATGTTATGTGATGGTTTATTATGCTATATAATGTTATGTGATGGTTTATTATGTTATGTGATGTTATGTAATGTTATGTGATGATTTTTTGTGTTATATAATGTTATGTGATGGTTTATTATGTTATGTGATGTTTTATTATGTTAGATAATGTTATGTGATGGTTTATTACGTTATGTGATGTTATGTGATGGTTTATTATGATATATGAAATTATGTGATGGTTTATGTTATGTGATGTTATGTAATGTTATGTGATGGTTTATTATGTTATATAATGTTATGTGATGGTTTATTATGTTATATAATGTTATGTGATGTTTTATTATGTTATGTGATGGTTTATGTTATATAATGTTATGTGATGGTTTATTATGCTATGTGATGTTATGTAATTTTATGTGATGGTTTATTATGTTACATAATGTTATGTGATGGCTTATAATGTTATGTGATGCTATGTAATGTTATGTGATGGCTTATTATGTTATATAATGTTATGTGATGGTTTGTTATGTTACGTGATGTTATGTGATGATTTATTATGTTATATAATGTTATGTGATGTTTTATTATGTTATGTGATGGTTTATGTTATATAATGTTATGTGATGGTTTATTATGTTATGTGATGTTATGTGATGGTTTATGTTATATAATGTTATGTGATGGTTTATTATGCTATGTGATGGTATGTAATTTTATGTGATGGTTTATTATGTTATGTAATGTTATGTGATGGTTTATTATGCTATGTGATTGTTTATGTTATGTGATGTTATGTAATGTTTTGTGATGGTTTATGTTATGTGATGTTATGTAATGTTATGTGATGGTTTATTATGTTATGTGATGTTATGTAATGTTATGTGATGGTTTATTATGTTATGTGATGTTATGTAATGTTATGTGATGGTTTATTATGTTATGTAATGTTATGTAATGTTATGTGATGGTTTATTATGTTATGTGATGCTATGTGATGTAATGTCATGTTGGATTACGTAAGGTAGATGAAGTTACGCTGGCTAGGCTAGGGTAAGTTTGGTTAGGTTAGGTTAGGTTAGGTTAGGTTAGGTTAGGTTAGGTTAAGTTAGGTTAAACTTAATTTGGTTTATGTTATTTTAAAGTCGATTAGCGTAAATAAAGTTAGGTTAGAGAAAGAAATTTTAGAATAGATTTCGTTACAATAGTTAGGATTTCAAAACTACTCGAATTAAAGTGGATTTCACTTTTAAAGGGGTGGACAGGTAAACCAGTGAAAGGCCTCGGTCAGATGACCTAAAGCTCCTGTGGAAGGTTTTCGCATGGCTAAGACTTGTGTCAGGAAACACTTGTCCTGATTAGTGACGAATCTTACCAAAGCTAATTCTAATTAAATATTTAAGTTTCAATTAAGTCAAGCTCATTTTTTTTGTCGCGAGTGAAGATACTAGGAATGAACTGACAGGGGGTAAAGTTACCGCGAGTGGAATTACTGAGATTAAATATACCGCGAGTGAAATTACCGGAGAGAAATTACCGTGAGTGAAGTTACTAGAGAACCAACCTAACCACCCTTGTTCTACACTTGGCTAACTATAGCTGTAGTGCACCAACCTGTTTTTCTCGTGGTGCACCTGGCTAACTACTCTTACGGTGCACTAGTCTACCTATGAGTACTAACCTATCTTAATGGTGCTTAAACCTTACGTATCTTTGTGGTTCACCAGGAGAGATATGCCTGCATTGGCACTAGGCTACCTGCCCTTGTATTTCACAAACCATAATGTAGACAGCCTGTACTGCCAGAACAGACAGCCTAAGCCGTCTGCCAGCTTAGTTCATATTTCGCGGCATTTAGGTGCTGCCCTCTGGGCCTGCTCCAGGTCAGTGGGATGCTGGGCCCACACACTCTGACTCACACAGCGGCCTAGCAGGAAGACACAAGGGCTAGCAGCTCTCTCCTCTCGTGGGATGGCCCTTCTGGGCCATGGGCACAACACACATGCCTGTGTACCCACCACGACAATACAAATAAAGTAAGAAGCCTCCGAAGACGTCTATCATTCACGCACCCACTTTCACCGTACGAAATAATCCCTTATAATAAGACATTGTGGTGCACCAGTCTAACATTATGGTGCACCAATCTAACATTGTGGTGCACCAATTTAACTTTGTGGTGCACCAGTCTAACATTGTGGTGCACCAATCTGACACTGTGGTGTAGCAGTATAACATTGGGGTGCACCATTCTAACATTGTGTTGCACCAGTCTAACACTGTGGTGCACCGGGCTAGCTAACATCATGGTGCAAAAGTCTAACATTGTGGTGCACCAGACTAACATTGTGGTGCACCAGTCTAACATTGTGGTGCACCGGGCTAGCTAACATCATGGTGTAAAAGTCTAACATTGTGGTGCACCAGACTAACATTGTGGTGCACCAGTCTAACATTGTGGTGCACCAGTCTAACACTGTGGTGCACCGGGCTAGCTAACATCATGGTGCAAAAGTCTAACATTGTGGTGCACCAGACTAACATTGTGGTGCACCAGTCTAACATTGTGGTGCACCAGGCTAACATTATGGTGCATAAGTCTAACATTGTGGTGCACCAGACTAACATTGTGGTGCACCAATCTAACATTGTGGCACACCAGTCTAATTAACACTGTAGTGCACCAATCTAACATTGTGGCACACCAGTCTAATTAACACTGTAGTGCACCAATCTAACATTGTGGCACACCAGTCTAATTAACACTGTAGTGCACCAATCTAACACTGCAGTTAGATTAAATTTACAAATGATAACATGTTATCTTACATAGTGATATAAAAATTACTTGATTAATGGCAACATAATAATTATTTTTATTAATAACGCTAAAATAACTCATGTAGTGATAACTTAAGAATTTTTATATAAAGCTCTAAATTCGATTACATAAATATAGAAGATTGATAACCCAGAATAACATGCTGGGGTATATTTCTAGGACCCTTCCCAGGATGCTACCCAAAACAGTTGATTATTTTCTTAATATATTCTGCAGTTAGAGCAATCAATTTCTTCTGAATTACCATTAGTGCGTATCTGCCCGAGTTAGTATTTGACCATTCTTAGGTTACGTTATCTGGGTTAAGCTAAGCTAGGCTAGGTTAGGGTAGCTTACGTTAGGGTAGGTTAGGTTAGAGTAGTCTGGGTTGAGTTAGGTTCGAGTAGTCTATGTTAGGTGAGGTTCGAGCATTCTGGGTTAGGTTCGAGTAGTCTGCGTTAGGCGAGGTTAGAGTAGTCTGGGTTAGATTAGGTTAGAGTAGTCTGAGTTAGGTTAGTTTCGAGTAGTCTGCGTTAGGTTAGGCTAGAGTAGTCTGGGTTAGGTTAGGTTAGAGTAGTCTGGGTTAGGTTAGGTTAGGTTAGAGTAGTCTGGGTTAGGTTAGGTTCGAGTAGTCTGAGTCAGATTAGGTTATAGTCTGGGTTAGGTTAGGTTCGAGTAGTCTGAGTCAGATTAGGTTATAGTCTGGGTTAGGTTAGGTTCGAGTAGTCTGGGTTAGGTTAGAGGTTAGAGTAGTCTAGGTTAGGTTAGAGTAGTCTGGGTTAGGTTAGGTTAGATTGGGTTAGGTTAGGTTAGGTTAGAGTAGTCTGGGTTAGGTTAGGTTAGGTTAGGTTAGATTGGGTTAGGTTAGGTTAGAGTAGTCTGGGTTAGGTTAGGTTAGATTGGGTTAGGTTAGTTAGAGTAGTCTGGGTTAGGTTAGGTTAGATTGGGTTAGGTTAGGTTAGAGTAGTCTGGGTTGGGTTAGGTTAGATTGGGTTAGGTTAGGTTAGGTTAGAGTAGTCTGGGTTAGGTTAGGTTAGGTTAGATTGGGTTAGGTTAGGTTAGAGTAGTCTGGGTTAGGTTAGGATAGGTTAGAGTAGTCTGGGTTAGGTTAGGTTAGAGTAGTCTGGGTTAGGTTAGGTTAGGTTAGAGTAGTCTGGGTTAGGTAAATTGGGGTTTGTTTAGGCTTTCTTAAGAGAACAAAATAAAAGAAAACAAAATCTTACGTCTGGCAGTGCTGAACATGTCGTATATTAGAACGTGCATTTCCTCCAGAACGATAAATGTTGATGTATAGTATGTACTTACTGCATGGTAAGAGGTGCAGCAAGTATGAGGATACATGCCAACATGTATCTCCTCACACAGGATAACTAATATATTCATAACGTAAGGATAACTCAAACTTATAGCATCGAGATTTTTATGTTAAATGATAACATATTATTCGAGTAAAGATAACCTGAAGATTACTAAAATGATTGTAACATATTTCATGACGTGATATCATTAGGATTTTTCGAGTGATGGTTAAATTATTGGTGGTGAGTAATGGTAATATAAACGTGATGTTTACTTGTGTGCGTGTTTAAAAGATATTTATATCGACATGTGTGTATATAGAGAGAGAATTTGCTTCCATTCCTATTTTAGAAATTGAGATATTCTACTTTGATCAAAATATTACACACAGCCTAAATGACCTTAGTACAGTCGATAGGCCTTAAACCCCATTAACCTTATGAGTTACGGAAGATCTTGCTAAATATCTAAATATACGTAGATGGACATTTTTAACTCCTCCATGGAAGTAACTAACAAGTGCGTCTCACCTGTGACAGGTCCCGTGACAGTGGCGGTGGCGGTGGCTGGGTCAGCTTCGGTGCTTCCCTGCAACATCTCCACCTCTAAGAGTGATGACTCCGTCCAGCTAGTTCTTTGGTACCGTGATCACGTGCCTACACCTATCTACAGGTGAGTAACAAGCCTTTACACCTATCTACAGGTGAGTAACAAGCCTTTACACCTATTTACAGGTGAGTAACAAGCCTTTATACCTATCTACAGGTGAATTTTAGACATCTACACTATTTACAGGTGAATTACAAAAGTTTACACCTGTCTTCAGATGAGCCACAGAGTTCTACAACTGTATTCAGGTGAATCAATGATGTCTACAATCTACAGACAGGTGCTTACACCTGCTACATATGAGTCACAGTATTTACACCAATCTACAGGTGCTGACATATATCTGCAAGTGATTCAAAAATGTCTACACTTATCTAAGGGTGATTCACAGGTCTCTACACCTGTCAACTGGTGATTCACAGGTCTCTACACCTGTCAACTGGTGATTCACAGTTATATTCACTTCTCTATAAACTTACAATAGGTGAGTAACAGGTGTCTACACAAATCTGCTTGAAAGTCACAGGTATCCAGACTTGTCTACGTGTCAGTATATTAGGTCTCTACAGCTATCTACATGTACTCACGAAATCGTAATAACACGATTCAAAAAAATCATGGAACTGGTTGGGTTCGAACCCTCAAAGTTCAAAGACGTCACAGACGAAAGAAACGAATGGCTGATGAGAACTTGAGAGACACTGAGTTAACAGCCAAGGAGGAAATGAGAAGAGTCATGAAGAGAACACTTGAGCGTCTTCACAGATAAATGGATGAAAGGTTTGCTCGTAAACACAACACTGATGCCAAGTCTGGTTTCCTTCAGGATGTTAAGAGATAGTGTTACGGCGCCGACAATAACTACCTAAAGAATACGAAAATTTGGGGGAATTGTACAGCTCTGATGTTGATAGACAACAGCTAAATGAAGAAATTTTGAATTGAAGACTGATATCAAGTCGGGCCAACAAGAAAATATGAAGACCTGAAGAGCTTCTCTAATTGTTCAATATCTAGATGAGAGCATCTTCCTCAATCCTGAAGAGCTTCTCTAATTGTTCAATATCTAGATGAGAGCATCTTCCTCAATCCTGAAGAGCTTCTCTAATTGTTCAATATCTAGATGAGAGCATCTTCCTCAGTCCTGAAGAGCTTCTCTAATTGTTCAATATCTAGATGAGAGCATCTTCCTCAATCCTAACACTGCTATTCAGATAATGTTAATCCTAAAACTCACAGGCCAGTGTGCTACCCACATGGCCAGCTGGCTCTAATAAGATTTAACCAGGTATATTTCTGTATATAATTGGGAAGTTAACATGGGCCTCCACTGTGATCTCAAATGCAGTTTTTTTAAGATGAATCCCACAACAGCGTGGCTGTAGCGAACTGTAGCCTAAGTCCCTTCAAAGCCGCTATCATGGCCGAGTGGTTTACGCACTGACCTGTAAAGTTTAGGATTCACTTTCCATGAGTTCAAACCCCACCCGTTCCCTGATCTATCTACAGGTAAATCACAGGTATGTACAAGTGAGTCGCGATTGTCTACAATTGTATCATGGTACGTCACAGATGTTTACACTTGTATATGTGAGCCTAAACCCATCTACATGTGAGTTACAAATGTCTGTACCTTTCTACGGGTGATTCAAAAGTGCGTATACCTACCTACTGGTGAAATACATATGTTTAGACCTATTTACAGAAAAGTCATGGATGTTTACACCTATTAACAGGTATTAGCAAAGGCGAAATATGTCTTTATAGGACGGTCCATACATTGCACCGTGGTGTAGGATATGACTAGGTGACTACCAGTAGAAGACAACCTGTGAGGAATAATCTCTGATACATACCCCTGGGGGGCATGGGAACAAAATAATGGGGTATGGGCCTCGATATCTGAACAATTTTCAAAAAAAGTTGTTAGATTAGAATAAATTATCAGCTGTTCCTAGTTGTCTTCATGTAAAGAAAAACTGAGCTAGTGACATCTTTTTGAAGTCTACTGGTACCTAATAGATCTGGTGATGATGATGATGATGATGATGATTTCCACAGTCTAGTGAAAAAGGTATGGGGACATACAGGGCAATCCATTGGGTACACGCAGGTAAACGCAGCATGCCCATTTACCCAAGAGGCCTAGACCGTGGGTAAGGGGGCATGCTGGGTTTACCTACTTTTTTCCCCAACCCCTCTCACCTCGGTGCGCATATGTACAATTATCATACCTAGAAACATATATGCAAATTGCCTAAGCTAACTCCCCAAAATTTGCCAATGTGACTTATTTGCGCTGGGATCATCAACGTCATCTGTGAAATCATAGTATATAATATAACAAACTATGCTTAATATTACAACCCAAGAACAAAAAAGTCTGTTATCCTGGGTGTAAAGGGAGCACAATAAACACAGTTGAAGACCTAGACTTATATTATCCTTCACCAAGTATAAACAGCAGTATGTACACTATATACTCTATGTAGAGCAATAAGTATTAGTGAACGCCACGGTAATCAAGAAGAATTAATGCTACTAGAGAGAAGACCGTGCTTCAACCAGCTCTCGAATGGAAATGACAAGGGTGGAGACATGAGTGGAAACCACGTCACCTCCACAATTGCCATATCCACCTCCTCATTGGCTGAACCTAGATACTAATCTGACGATGGGGCCCCATCGTCCGACCCTTAGCACCCGGTTCGCTGGTTGGGGAGTCGGCCTTTTAATAAGGGTGTGTACATGCACTGAATAAAAGTTACATACTTTTTGCATGCCACACTTAAAAACACATTAGCAAACACATAAGACTATTATAATAGTGGCAATGAACAAAGTCCCAAGACCGAAATGTTTGGAGCCAGTTTGCAGAGTGAAGGGAAGAGCTGACAGATACCTATTTATGTAATATATGGGTTTTTTATATAGCTAAAATACTTTTCAACGCTATTCAGGAGTAATTTATTTAAGGGAGAGTTTGGTAGAGGATGAGCTGTTGATTCTGGAACATCCGCTTAGTGGAGATTTCCCCTGCGAAGAAGTGGAAACCCACAGGTGAGCTCTAGCTCTTGGTTTATCATGGGAGAGTGTCCTTGACGTTCCAGCTCTTGGTCATCAAGTCATTACTTAAGGATTCTTTAGTCATATTTCATTTTAAAAGATTTATATAAAGAAGTCGTACAGATATTTCTCTCATATATTTCATATTTATATCAAAAAGATAATATAATAAAAAAAATAATAATAATAATAATAATAATAATAATAAGAAGAAGAAGAAGAAGAAGAAGAAGAAGAAGAAGAAGAAAGAAGAGAAGAGAAGAAGAAGAAGAAGAAGAAGAAGGAGGAGAAGAAGAAGAAGAAGAAGAAGAAGAAGAAGAAGAAGAAGAAGAAGAAGAAGAAGAAGAAGAAGAAGAAGAAGAAGAAGAAGAAGAAGAAGAAGAAGAAGAAGAAGAAGAAGAAGAAGAAGAAGAAAAAGAAGAAAAAAGAAGAAGAAGAAAAAGAAGAAGAAGAAGAAGAAGAAAGGAGGAGAAGGCTCATGGATTTACTAAGAAATAGAAAAAACTAGCCTTACATTCATTTCTTTATGATGAAGATGGAAGGCAGCTGGAGCCTCACAGGAGCCTCACAGGAGCCTCACAGGAGCCTCACAGGAGCCAGCAGAGGTAAAAGGGTGATGACAGCTCTTTATTCATTCTTATAATATATATGATCAACTTTTAAACCGACACGCCTACCATTCTAAGGATATATTCTTTCCTGCAGCTCCACCATTATAAATGTTATTATACCTTCTTAACAATCGTCTTGGGATTTTCTTTCACATAAATGAATTAATTAAAAATAGATACATCTTCATCTGTAATTAATTAAACTAACAAGATGATATATGGAGGGTGATGAGATGATCTACCTGAATTTCTATACGTATTTTTTTCTCCTCAGGGAGGTTAGGTTAAGATAGATAAGATAAGATAAGATTTCGTTCGGATTTTTAACCCCGGAGGGTTAGCCACTCAGGATAACCCAAGAAAGTCAGTGCGTCATCGAGGACTGTCTAACTTATTTCCATTGGGGTCCTTAATCTTGTCCCCCAGGATGCGACCCACACCAGTCGACTAACACCCAGGTACCTATTTGCTGCTAGGTGAACAGGACAACAGGTGTAAGGAAACTTGTCGAAATGTTTCCACCCGCCGGGAATCGAACCCGGGCCCTCCGTGTGTGAAGCGGGAGCTTTAGCCACCAGGCCACCGGGCCACCTCCACCAGGTAAGGTTCGTCAGGAAACAGGACAAGTGTTTCCTGACGTGGGTCTTAGATGATGACCCACCGTTGGAGCTTTTGGGATCTTCATTTTCAGTGAGGGATAGTCCCCTCAAGGGAGGTTCCTTGACGTTGGTGACGGGCTCTTGATCTAGGAAATTGGAGGTGTGCTCCGGTTCCCTGAGTTGAGCCTGAATACCTTCCATTCCCCCCATATGCGCTATATAATCCTACGGGTTTAGCGCTCCCCTATGATTATAATTATAAATGTGAGGGGTATTCTCCGTATCCTCATTCACATACAGTAATTAAGACGGTGACCCATTCTGTAAAATAACGTGCGGGGAGATAAAGACGGTGGTCTAAGACCAAGGTAATCTCTGCTCTCATTTTAGACGCGCGTGTACCTCTAAATTTTTTCTTGCCGACAAAAATACTGTTCACAAATAACCCGCACAGTTAATGATCCAGATCAGACCGAAACGTTGTCAAAAGTTTCTTTCTCTTATGTGCAGGTATTATGTATTGTTCCAGTCACGGTATTGTGCCTTTCTTTTCTTAAAAATACTCTGACTCGTCAAACCTCTTGTAGCTGGATTTAGATTGTTGTTATTATCATAATATATATATATATATATATATATATATTTTATATATATATATATATATATATATATATATTATATATATATATATATATATATATATATATATATATATATATACTCCTGTAGCTCGGTTCGATCCCCTATACGGGTGGAAATATTGGGCATGTTTCCTTACTCCTACTGC